GTTTGATGAGCTATGAAATTCGTTCATTAACTATTTTGGTTGAATTATGTTTTACATGCGAAAGGGTGCTCATTAGTTTTGATGTGGTTGAATGTGAAGAAAACGGGTAAGTTTAGATGATTTTCGATGAAAAATTGTTTCTTTTGTTCATTTTTTAGGTGGAGAAGGCCGTTATATTTAGCTTCTTGATGGTTTGGTAATGGTGCGACGAAGTGCATCTGGATAATTAAAGTTTTTCTCTAATTTCCGTGTGTTGCTGACCTTTAATGTCTGTTCTAGTTATTTCTTGGTGCGAATAGATTCACAGCAGAACCTCATTGAATGTCTGTGGCCGCTGTGAATGCCTGTTGCTGCTGGTAGAGAAGTGATGGATTTCTGTCTACGCTAGTTTGGTAGAGCTTTAACCGCATTCGGAAACCTTTTCTTTGGGTTTCCAAAGAGGTATTTGAGGTTTAGCTATAATGGGTACTATGGGTTTCCGAGGTCTCGGAAACCCTTCTTCGGAAACCCTTAAAGGGTTTCCTATAGTAACAAACTCGGAAACCCTCTAAGGGTTTTCGATAATACCTATTTTTTTTAGAGTGTAATGATCCATTGCCACCCGGATCACTTCAATCTTCGAATCGACCACATATATTTATGTCACAAATTCGTACTATTCCACTCGAATCAAATAATGTTACTGTTACAAAAGGTTTTGCAGCTAAATCATCAGATCCTGAAAGTCAGTCAGTAAGTATAACTGTTTCTCGTAGTGAAAATCTTGTTATGCGTCGTGGTAATGAACTTCTCGAGTTCGAAGATAATATTCATATGCTATTTTTTCCTGAAATAACCATCGAACGAAATCCAATCGATAGTACTATTCTCATTCTATCGTGGACAATAGGTGTGACTGTTCAAATAAAACTAGTTGAAATGGTATCACCATCGGCAGCACTCGTACTCAATGTAGCGGCTTCTGTAACTGATGCGTTTCGTGGACGAACATATGGTCTATTGGGTACTTATGATGGTGAACCCACTAATGATCTACGAGCTCAGAATGGAATAGTAGTGAATTCTAATGCTTTGGCCGAAGAGATTCATCGGCAATTTGGTGTTACTTGGGCTATTCATACCGATACTTCTTTATTTTACTATGAGTCAGGTCAATCAGCTGAATTTTTCGAAAACCAAAATAGATTATTTGTTCCATCTTTTACCGAACCTATCAATACAGCAGTGGAAGATGAATCTATTCGACGTACATGTAAAATTGCTTCGGATTCTGCATCATCTTCATGGAATGCTGCTCAACGAACATGTTACTATGATATGTCAATAACACGAGATGAAACATTTGCACAAACATCTTTTGATGCTGGTGATGAAATTTTATCGATCAAAGCTGATCTAATAAATCCACCTCTCTTTAATATTGAACTTCCTGTTTCCATGAAAGCGAAACACGGTGAGCGAATTCGTCTGACAATAGACGCTACAAGTAATTATTCCACGAGTGTTATCGTTCTGTCCGCTGACCATCTGCCTAATGGTGCTACATTTAACATACAAACAAAGGTATTCGAGTGGACAGCTATTGAAGGTGAAGATTATGTTCGAATTCGAGCGAAGGATTCAACATACAACTTAACATCAACACATGAAATTGTCTTTCAAGTAGAACTCGCCGATGAAAGTAGTGCCATTCGGTCTGAAATACAAAGTTCGCTATTTTCCCTTGCTATACTGTTTTATATGCTTTTTAAATAAGAAAATGAAAGCTTACATAACTTCAACAAATTGTCAACAACAAGACAAGACTATTGAGTTATTTAAATACAAAATATTCATCTATACTTTTATATCTTGATTCTTGAAGCAAAACAGAATCATTTTAACGAATTACCGATTATGATGAGAGGGTGTGGGTGTGAAGGTGTGGGGGTGGGTATGGGGGCGGGATGTGGGTGTGGATGTGGGTGCGGGTGTGGGTGTGAGTGGGTGTGAGTTGGTGTGGGTGTGGGTGTGGGATGTGGGGTGTTTGTGTGGGTGGATGTGGGGTGCGGGTGTGGGTGTGGGCATTTATCTTCCGTTGAGTCATACCCATACCCACATCCACCCAATATTTATTCTTGTTGATCTCTTGTTTTTATCCCTATTCGTTAATTCCATTGAAAATGTATCAACTAAGTGAAGAAGTGCGCTGGTACATCATCCACGAATGGAAAAACGGTTCTATAAATGTTAGACAGACAGCACATTTCCTCAACTGTCATATCAAGGCAATATATCGCATTATTAATCACTATCAATACCATGGTAATGTGGATTATGGATTCGGTTCTGGTCGTCCACCTGCATTGAGGCCAGCACAAGTGAAAAAACTCGATAAAACCATCCAGCAAAATCGATCTGCCACAGCTGACGAATTACTGTCAATCGCACAGTTCAACACAACCGAACGAACGATACAACGTTATCGTCTTTCTCTTGGTTATCATCAACGAAAATCTGTCATTAAAGTCAAAACCAACAAAATGAATGAACGTAATCGATTTGAATTCCCTTAATTACACACCATTGTACTGATATCAAGAAATACATTTTTGAAGATGAATGTTATGTTGGTCTGAGAAGCACAAA